GAGAGGGCTGTTAAGCACTATAAGTTAGCATAGAAGTCTAAGTGCTATTGCTATTTAGGCGATGCCAACAGCATCTAGGATCATCCAGGTTAGGGGAAGGTAGATGTTAATGGGTAAAATAGATACTTCACCTTGAAAAAGCTTAAAGTATACCCTACTAGCCACACTTTTAGTAAAAGTGGCAAACAAAAATACCTCCAAAAATAACCATCTGGCTTCCAAATTGTGGTGGCGGCACCATTAAGAGGTGTACTCAGTTAGGAAGATAAGGAAGGCTTGGTCCTAAAGATATGTATTAGTTCCAAGTTGAATTCTGAATGATGCCTAGGCATTTCTATGTCTTTAGGTCTCAAGGGAGTGTTAGCCACCTAAAACTGCTCAAGAAATATGAAAGCCACTCCTTTTACTGATCTCCAGAGTAGTATAATAGAACAGAATAACAGGGTTGGAAGGAACCTTGGAGGTCTTCTAATCCAACCCCTTGATCAAGCAGGAAACCCTATACCATTTCAGACAAATGGTTATCCAATCTCTTCTTAAGAAGTGTTGGAGCACCCATAAGTTCTGGAGGCAAGTTGTTCCACTGATTAATTGTTCTGTCAGAACATTTCTCCTTAGTTTTAAACTGGTTCTTCCTTTGAGTAGTTTCCATCCTCTGCTTCTTGTCCTGCCTTTGGGTGCTTTGAAGAATAGGTTGACCCCTTCTTTGTGGCAGTCCCTTAGGTATTGGAACACTGCTATCATGTCACTCCTAGTCCTAACCAATCTCTTCCCATTCACCTATAAAACAAGCTACAGCTTGACTAGTTCAGGATATTACTCACTGTCTGACAACTCCATAAGTTGAGACTGGATGAAAGGCCTGCTGGACCTGTTTTTATGTCATGAGATGAGATGGGAGCCTGGGTTCAACAATAAATGCATATTCTCCAGTGTGTGGGAAGAGGCTGGCATGAACTGCTTCAGCCAAAGACCCAGCATTAGTCTTATACACATGAAGTAGAAGATGGACAATCCAAAAACCTAAGGGAGGGATATCAAAATAAGGAGAGATTTTATTCCTTTTAACAGCATACGATTCTTATTTAAAAGATATCAAGTGCTGGCATATGAGAGCAACAATACAGCTGCAACATACAACTGTGTTCTAACCGGTAAGCCTGTTTAAAAATAACCTAAGTCCTCAGATTAGACACATTAGCTAAGCAAGCCATAGGAAATTCAGCCAACAACTAAGAATACCTGTATCACGTCACAACAGCTTAAAGCAAAATGAAATAAAACAAAGGGCTGTCCTCATAAAAATCCTACTAATCATCCCCACATGATTTGTAAAGGCCATTCCACGTGCTGGCTTAAAACAAGCTGCAAGAATCAGGCTTCAGCAGCACAAACAAGTCCATCATTGCAGGTGTCAAAAACAGAAATTGTGTTCAACAGAATAATACCACACAGGATAAACATAGGAGAGGGTGTTCTGCAGGCCACAAGTACCTTCCAACACTCCATTTATGGCTACCCAGCACCCAAGATTGTGACACTGAAATTCAGTGGCAAAATGATCAATTTTCAGCAAGCTGATTTTGTTGGGATGGCCAACAAGAATGGAAATGGGATAAAGTCATTTCTTGGAATCAAGTTATTTCCATCTTTGAAACGTCCAATCCCTTCCAAAACTGCACCAGGGAAATTCAATCATGATGCTGAATTTGGAAGGATTCATACAGAAATAAGAGCATCTTATCTTCAAGAATCTTTAACCTATCCCCAAAGCCAAAAAGTAGTATCACTGTTCTTGTAGTATTATCACTGCTTCACCTGAAAGTTGAATTGAGGTACATGGCCCCTCAAATGTTTCCTGATCCTGAAAAAAAAGCAACCTTATCCAACCAGGTACCCTCCAAATAGTCAATCCCAATATTTGTGGACAGATACAGATTTGGAAAAGGTGGAAGCATGAGGATGGGCTGAATGATGGAATCCAGAAAAGAAGAGCTACAGAACCAAAGATTCCCAGGCTGCAGACCACCTAGAAGTGTTCTGTTTTATGTAGGAAGAGAACTTTATTCTATACACAGGGAGCAGTTATAATGTTGTTGTTTCATGTATTATTTATTTTAAAATTAATGCTAATCAAAATGAATTTTTGTTCTGACCTTGCCATTTGGTTTAGCATCAATCATGACTTTTTAAACTGGGGGTGGGGGTGGCCAGCACATGATGCATCCAGGGGTAGGATTCAAATTTCTTAACAACCGGTTCTGTGCGGCCTAGTTTGTGGGTGTGTCCTGATTTGTGGGTGTGTCTTGATGGTCATGTGACTGGCTGGGCATGGCTTATATGTAAATATCATAAATATTTATGTAAATATTAATTTTTTTATAAAAAAAGAGCAACTTTTACCCAAAATCAAGCAAAGCAGGCAGGCAGATTGAGTTGCTCACAGAATCACAGATTCATTCAGAGATCTATCTTTC